CTTGAAATGAATTGAAATAAAATATTTTACATTAGGGACAATACTTTTGTACATTGAAAATAAATTTATAATATAGACTGAAGGTCGTAACACACATGTACCATTTGATTGTAAAGATATTATATTATTGACAATGTTCTTTTACTAAATCATAAATATTTCACCATAGAATATTGTTTGATATTAAGTACTTCAGAAAATAGATTTATGCTCTTGTATTGTTTGATAAAAATATTTAGCAATAAAGATGTTTTAAAATTGTTTCATATTAAATTCTTCACAATATGGAAATAGTTATTTTATTGTTTCATAAAAACATTTAACAATATGGATATATAAACCTCTTGATGCTAGATTATAAAAACTATTTTACAACATAAGATTACATTCTCTTATTTTGCTCAATATAAGGTATTTTGCGATATAGATTGTACAATTTAATAAAAATATATATTTCTCTTACATTGTTGCGGTGAGCTTCTTCTCGAGTCTGAAAGAAGAATTCTATGAAGGTAATAATGAGACATGCTATTATCCCAGCCAGAAGAATGTAAAATAATCCACTAACTTGAAATAATGTCAGGGAACCATAGTAATTTTCCTGTTCAAAACAGTGCAAATATCATTACAGATATGTTATCAGAAACTCAACTTTTACAGATATTTTTTGTTAATTACATACATTCAGATAGTTTTTCAAAAATGTATATGCTTTAATTTTAAATCATGAAACTTATAATAAAATGCACATCAGGCAGGTGTTAAAACTGTTAACACTATTAGTTTTGGTAAAATGGTCATAACTTCTAAACTAAGTATTCCAAGGGGCTTTGATAAAACATGATTTCATTAAGCTATGCAAAGGTCCATACCTTCTCTAAATACTGGCATTTTTGAAGTAGAAATCATCCAAATGTGCCGTGAATTTAGTCAAAGCTAACTTCTGAGTCAAGTGGTGGACTGAAGTGTTGCCACCACTGACTGATATTGTCAAGAATGGAAGAAGAAAGTTTATTATCCCAGGATTTCTCAAAGGTGAATCAACTTTATCTATGTTGTCCCAATTGAACATTTGCTCCAAATAGACATCAAAATGTGGGTCTATGTTTCAGGAACTATATGGTGCCCTGGGACTGACTCAAATATTAACTTAACTGGACCAAAAAGCCCTCTTTATTCTTTCATGTACAGATGAGTGATGTTGATATGGGAATAATACTATCCTAAGTACATATATGATGGAGAAAAAGGTTGAAAGAACTTGAACAAAGCACAGTGAAATAATGGAAACATGGCAAAGCTCCTAGGATTAGCTCTTGATGTAACAGAATTAATGCTATTCGGGAAGAGATTCACAGAGCGATTTGATCATGAGTTATTTTGAAAGAATTGAAAGTCTGATGATACCATACATGAAAATACTAATAATTTACTCTGTTAACCAGTTTAGAACTATCTAATCTCAAAGTGCTAAGAAAGGAATAGATGAAACGAAGAAGTGTCTGAACAACATAGCAACTAGGGACCAAACAGGTATAGACAAGAGATAAATTTTAGGATGAAACAGTTCCAGGTGGAATATTGGCAGTGGAAAGTTAGAGGGCCATCTACAACATACCAAGTTTAGCCAAGGAAACAAAACCCTAGTAGATTATTCAGCACCAAAAAGGAAAGCATGAATGGGTCAACTATCCTTGATCTGTATCAAAACTAATGTCAAACTTATCACGCAGGAATGAAGGCATCTACTTAGAATGTGATGAGAGATCTAACAAACCATGATAAGGATCAAAGGGAAGCCATTGTTGTAGAATAGCAGTAGAGGAAACCCAGTTCTTGTTGGTAGACATTGTTGTAGAATGGCAGTGGAAGAAACCCAGCTCCTGTTGGTAGCCATTGTTGTATAACAGCGTGGAGGAAACCCAGCTTTTGTTGGTAGCCATTGTTGTAGAACAGTAGTGGAGGAAATCCCAGCTCCTATTGGTAGCCATTGTTGTAGAATGGCAGTGGAGGAAACCCAGCTCTTGTTGGTAGCCATTGTTGTAGAACAGTAGTGGAAGAATCCCAGCTCTTGTTTGTAACCATTGTTGTAGAACAGCAGTTGAGGAAAGCCAGCTCTTGTTGGTAGCCATTGTTGTATAACAGCGGTGGAGGAAACCAGGCTCCTATTGGTAGACATTGTTGTATAAAAGCAGTGAAGGAAAGCCAGCACTTGTTGGTAGCCATTGTTGTAGAACAGCAGTGGAGGAAACCCAGCTCTTGTTGGTAGACATTGTTGTATAACAGCAGTGGAGGAAAGCCAGCACTTGTTGGTAGCCATTGTTGTAGAACAGCAGTGGAGGAAACCCAGCTCCTATTGGTAGCCAATGTTGTAGAACAGCAGTGGAGGAAACCCAGCTCCTATTGGTAGCCACTGTTGTAGAACAGCAGTGGAGGAAACCCAGCTCCTATTGGTAGCCATTGTTGTAGAACAGCAGTGGAGGAAACCCAGCACTTGTTGGTAGCCATTGTTGTAGAACAGCAGTGGAGGAAACCCGGCTCCTATTGGTAGCCATTGTTGTAGAACACTAGTGGAGGAAACACAGCTCTTATTGAAACACCTAACAACATTACTACAGGGAAGAGAACAAAATCTGAGAGCTGCAGTTCACAAAGAAGTCTAGAAATCTATCAAATCCAGCCAGCAAAGTCAGACAAAACCCTACGTTGGCCATTGAACTCTAATTCCTCTGGTTCCAGAGCTATTCTAATTAGACACAAGAAAAGCCTGAATGTACAATATATACAAGTAAACACTTCTTCCTCAGAAAAAAAGACACCCAGAAAATACAGAAGTGATTTCAACTCCATTGGTTTCAGAGGTTTCTCAACTGGACAACAGAAAAGCCAGGTTACTGAATGTGAGCAACAGATCTACACAAAAAGATACCAGTATAGGCCACACTGTGTTCATTTTTAATAATATATCAAGTATAGTTACATTTATCAAGGGTTCTATTAAGTACACTTATGAATTGAACTATAATTATTCTACAAATCTAATGATCTAAATTTTAATTATTCTACAAATCTAATGATCTAAACTGTAATTACTCTACAAATCTAATGATCTAAACTTTAAATTATTCTTTCAGGCAACATGTAGATATAGCTGTGTTGTCATTAAAAGAAACTGGCGAGCTGGCACATCTTTATCAAAAATGGTGGGAAGGCCAATCGGAATGTGTTACTACTAGGAACAAAAGAAGCATTAAAGTGAGTGTATCAATTACAAAGATAACATTTAATTACATAAATTAGTACTTAGTATCTCATGTATTGCAATGTTTCTCTGTTGGGGAGCCAGTAAGACACATCTTTACTTGACACATCTTTATCAAAAATGGTGGGATGGCCAATCGGAATGTGTTACTACTAGGAACAAAAGAAGAATTAAAGTGAGTGTATCAATTACAAAGATAACATTTAATTACATAAATTAGTACTTAGTATCTCATGTATTGCAATGTTTCTCTGTTGGGGAACCAGTAAGACATTTCATGTAGTAAACTTGTAAACTGAAAAATGTGAAAATAAAATGCAATTTACAATAAAGTTTAAATCCACACCAACAGAACAAATTTAAATGAAAACTACTTTCAACATTTCACACATTCTCTTGAGTCCAATATTTGTTTTGGGAGAAATAAACACTGTATTGTGTTGTGTATTTACCTATTTTTAGAATGTAGTTAAGTTGATAGAAAAAGTTGGTACAGTATACCAAAGTATTGGCTCAATAAAGACCAAAAAGAAAGTAAATGCAACCTTACCAAAGCTTTTGGATGTCCAAAACAAATAAAACAATTAGACATTTTAAGAGGAAAGAAAGCCTTGTACCATAACCCTTGTACCAGTGCTGACCCTGTGTGGCAGAAATCTGTATTTAAATCACACCTTTTAAGAGCATAAATATAGTAAAATATACGAGTCTTATATGTGAATATAATTTCATGAAAATGAGTATTTGGGGCCCACTTTTTAATATCTTTGGATTTGTATAAATATTCAGGCAATCACAACATAATACTTTTAGAGTATGGTATTCCTGGATATACTGAAGCCAAAAGGTTAGGAATTGGGCATTTTAAAGTATGGTATACTCAGGCAGACTAGAGCCAAAGGGTAAGCATTACACATTTTAGAGTATGTTATACCTAGGTAAACTGGAGCCAAGGGGTAAACATAAGCCTTTTTAGAGTATGGTATACCTAGGTAAACTCAAGCTAATGGGTAAACATAAGGCATTTTAGAGTAAGGTATACCCAGTTAAACTGGAGCCAAAGGTTGGGCATTTTAGAGTATGGTATAACTAAGTAAACTGGAGCTAAAGGGTAGGCATTAGGCATTTTAGAGTATGGTATACCTAGGTAAACTGGAGCCAAAGGGTAGGCATTATGCATCTCGGAGTATGTTATACTCAAGTCACCTGGAGCCAACACTCACTCAAGGCATTTTAGAGTATGGTATACCCATGTAAACTGGAGCCAAAGGTTAGGCATTTTAGAGTATGGTATACCCAGTTAAACTGGACCCAAAGGGTAGGCATTTTAGAGTATGGTATACCCAGTTAAACTGGAGCCAAAGGGTAGGCATTAGGTATCACAGAGTATGTTATACTCAAGTCAACTGGAGCCAACACTTACCTTATTTTGAAACTCCCATAGTAAACCTATTGTAAAACACCAATATTCAACTAGCTGTTAAACATCAGTAACTATTTTATTGTAAATAACATCTTACTGTAAAAACCAAGTATTCATATTTCATTCAAAACTTGTGAATAAACTTGTTCTAAAACCACAACAGTCAACTATGCTGTAAAACTCCAAGTAAACATACTCTTAAAACCTCAATAGTAAACTTAGTTCAAGTTCATCATTGTGTTAGTGTTCTTTATGTACTTAGTTCAGTGGAGTTCTTAGTGTAATACCAACAGTAACTCCCTTTGTTCAAGTTCATCATTGTGTTTTTCTTGTACTTAGTTCAGTGGAATATCAACAGTCAGTGGAGTTCTAAGTGGAATACCAACAGTAAGTCCCTTAGTTCAAGTTAATCATTGTGTTAGTGTTTTTCATGTACTTACTTCAATGGAGATTCAAGTGGAAGAGCAACAGCAAAAGGCTTCCGATCAAGTTCACCTGGAATTAACATTGTGTCACATGGTTTGTGGTGAGAAATATATTCAAGGGTGGAGGACTCTGTCAAGAAGACGTATCCTCCTTCCTCCTGTCTTACTCTAGCTATTCCTTCATATATTGTATTGGTTAAGAAATCAGGATTTTTCAGGAAGTATTCATGCATTTTTTCTATTAATGGGAGTTTTGAATTCTGAAATATAAGTAATGTTACCCAATCACTATAGAAACTCATTGTAAGCATAATAACATAACAATAAACTGGAAATTGAAATATATGAAATAACAGTTATTATTCACAGATAAACTATGCCACCTGGATGTTAATGTAGTCCTAAGAAATTCATCAAATTAGTACTAAAAACATGAACAAGGCTTGAATTTCTGCAAGTTGCCAAATTGGTACCAGAAACATAAACAATATTTACAAATCGGTATTAAGGAAATCATTAAATTAGCTTTAAAAAAGTATTCTTTCAATACTACAAATAACTCAGTAATACAGCATTAAAAATGCTGTTTTGGAGACATTATTGGCCAATGTGTCAATTGAAGTTTTTTCTACAACTTGTCTGGTAACTTATATTGGATGACATTGTCATCTATATAACTTCACTTCATATAGTTTTTTACTTGTATTAACTACCTTTATAATTTATTTTTATAAGAATCTACAAAATAAATACTATGCTCTATGTAAGAACAAACTACTGTACACTGCACCATGAGAAGGATGCCAATAGCTTTTGTTACTGCATATTTTCATTGTTAAATTAGTAAATACAATGACAAGATATTGCCTACCTTAAAAAACGAAAACGTTGAGCCTGACTTTATGATTCCAGCTTTGGGATATCCTTCAGTCACTGTATCCTTAAAGGGAGAATCAATTCATGCCTTGAAAAATCTTTATACACACACACAAAGAAAGTATCATTTGTAAAAGTTGTCTTAAAAACTAAAGCTTATTTGTGCAAAATTAAAAATTTTTTAAAGACACCAAAGATGTTAATCTGTCATATATATATATATAGTGAATAATGGTAGATGGAATAATTTTATTTCTAGTGCCATCAACATACACTTCTTGCCAACTTGCAGTAACAACAAATTGTGAAAAAAGCTCTTATTATCCAAAAAATATGTACCATAGATAAAGTATGTCTTAGAGTGAAACCTGGCATCAGATAGATTAATAACAGTAAGAGTTAGCAACTTTCTTTATAATGATGTCTTAAAGTGAAACCTGGCATCAGA